TGAGAAAAGCCAGAAAGGAAATAGACAGTACCTAACTTCAGTACATCAGTAAGCATGAAAACCAAAGACTAAGGATAAAATAAATAGTAGAGGTATGGGGAAGACTACAGAGGAAAGCTGATGTCTGCTGATGAAATCATAAAAAGACCTAGAATTGGAGGCAAAAGTTCCCCAAAACAGAAAAAATGAATAAAGGTAGGATAAGGTGGCATTGCAGAAGGGGCCTTCACATGGAAGTCTGAATTCTGACAGGAGTGGTAGCAAGCCAACACCCTGGGAATCCAGCAGGTGATGGCAATATGCTCTGAAGGGAAACTGAGCAAACCAAGAGAAACTATCTACAATCCAACACTTGGGATGTGCCACAAAGTGGCTGGAGTCTTATCTCCCCTGCAGCACTGGTGAAAACCCCCACATAGAGAATCCCCTCTATGCTTTCTAGTTCCTATTTTATAGAAAGGGTGGGGAGTCAGTTTATCTGGCATTTGAGAAAAGTATTTTACACTTAAGAGAGAATCTGAAACAAAGTGATAAGAGGAACACACAGAAACTACATAGGGAACAACAACAACAACAAAAAAAAAAGCAAAGAAAGACAGACTTGTAAAGAGCCCTTTCACAAATATCCTCAAATAGAAAATAGAGGTTAATGGCTAGATTTTTTTTTTCTAGTACTGACTTCATGTCAGACACTCTTAGAAATGTTTTATAAACATCAATTAAAAATGACACTATGTGGCATTTATAGTAAACACAATTCCCATATGTAAAAAGCAATATGTGGCACCAAGAGGAAAACAATATTGTTGTTGTATTTAGAGTAAGTTATAAAGGAGGCTTCACTCCATGCAATCTCACTCCAGAGCCCACATTTTGAACATTCTGTTGTCTAATTAAGACATAGCATCTGTGAAGCAATAATTAGATGATATAGAAAAAAGACACTCAAAGAATAGGAAACTGCTCTAGAATGCAAAATATGAGTAGATATAAAACATTCAGGGGAAGACAAAATTGAAATTACCTTGAAGAAGCCCCCCTCCCAATCAAAAAATAATAAAAAAGTAACAGGATATGGTGAGAAACATGTGAATAAAACGAATTCCAGGAAAAGACAAAAGGAGGATGAAAATTATGGAACAAAAAATGTATAAAAAAGAGAAGCCAAGTTTCTGGGTTTCTAGGCTATCTTATGGCAGCTCTGCAAATGTGCCCACTACCTACAACTTCCCCTTGGGTTAGTTAATAGCATCAGTTTGCATTTATGTCTGAGGCTTTCCCTGCTTAGTCTTGCTTCTTTTCATTGTACCTTTCTCAGGAGTTATAAAATTATTTCATTACTAACTCCATCTCAATACATGCTTCCTGGTGGACACACAGATACCCACATTGTTGGAGCACTAAAAGTATCCTGCAAGTAGAAAATAAAAGACTCTTATCAAAGTACATCACTCTGAAATCTCAAGACAGGAAAAGATCCAAAATTATTTTAGAGAATAAATGCATAAAAAATCAAAATAGATTACAGTCCAAAGAATGGGTATCAACATGGTAGGAGAGTTCTCAAAAATGACACTGGAGTTTAGAAAATAGTAAAAAAAAGTTTATTAAAAATCTAAGTTAGTGTAAGATTTTTATTAAAAAACTAAAAAGATTATTAAAAAAATCTAAAGGATTTTAGTTCCCACTTAGAATTCCAGGAAAATAAAAAATCAAATTTTAAGATAGAACAAAGATGTTTTAAAGATACAAAGCTTTAAGAAATTTATTTGTAGGAAGCAACATAAAGAACTGATCCAAGAAAGAGAAGGGCATGGTATTCTGGAAGTAATAAGCAACTTAGAAAGAACAGTGACAGGCGTTCCCACGGTGCTGGTGAGAATGAGTCTAGTTTCAGGTAGCCACAAGCCTAGAATGTAACCCACCTGGATTGAAGTCTATGGAAGACTTGAGAGAATAACCTAACAAGAAAATCAAGTGCATAGAACAAATGATATGTTTGAATATATTCAGAGGAAATTTAGTGTCTTGGAAAAAAAGTGTGGGATAAATAAACGAATATATGCAGAAAGTTCAATAAAAATAGTCCATTTTAATGAAAAAATAAACAGTGATGCTAAAACATAATTATAACATACATCATGTCTTAATATAAAAATAGTCATACAGACATAATTGATGTGAACATCAGTTTAGCTAAATATGCAGATATAACTACTTTGGAAGGAGAAGAAATAGCAGTTTGTATGTATTAGGTTATGTATAGGAGATATAGGGAATGGGGCACTGCAAGTATCATTAAGAACAGCAAGGATTTATAATTAGTACTTTCATAATGAGAAGGAAATAATAAGTTCTTCAATGATAAAAATCCAATAGTGGCACTAAAAGCATATCTTTAGAAATATATGGGAAGTAACAGAGAAAACTGATAAAATATTTAAAAGCATTTCTTAGGGGTATTAAAAGATAGGAATGGCTAATGTAACAAAGAAGTGATTTTTTAAATAAATATTTTCATATTGTTTTACCTTTAAAGTCATATATGTGTAGATATATAATATTCTGATGATAAATAAAATATGTATAATATGCATAATATTTTTATCATGAGAATATTATATATTTGATATTTAATAATATATATAGAATATTATATATAAAAATAAATATTGGTAGAAAACCGAAAGAATGGTACAGCTGGAGAACAAACATCAAGTAATAAGAACAGAGCTAGCTAATTTCTAGTTAGGCTATATTGTAACTTCATGCATTGCCTCTCTATTTTTCTTTAATGTACTTCACCTTCTTGTACTACCTCTCATTTTTATTGGTAAATAATCATATAACTGAAGATATTTAAAATGCTAAAATATATAAGGTAATTATAGACCCATTTGATCATGTTATTTTCTTACTAACAAGTGAATTAAGAAACATGGACTTACCTAAATTAGTGAGGAGGTAAGCAACTTTTTCATAAGCCTACAGTAGAGAGAACAAGTAGAAAATATTAGTCTCTTTTTTTTGTGAAGCCTGGTATTTGAATTTTTTTAAGGAAACATTTAAAGTGTGTTCAACAAAATGCTTACATTTAAATTAAGTATAAATATTTATTAATGCAGGATATGTAGTGCTTTGCATAAACATACCCCAAATAGATATAATATAAATGTGTACGAAAATTCATATTCATGTGTACATTAACACAGAAACACACTTATTATCTGCAACAGTGAGTCTTTTCTCTTGCCTATATTTATCTTAATTTTAAACAAGAAAATATGTAAGCAAAAGATTGTTAATGGCTAAGCAGAGATTTGATCTTCAAATTATAGAGCCTTTTTTGCCATATTGGAAGGTCGAAAGCGAAAGTTTCTTTCTATTATTATTGATAAACAATATTCCAAACCATGACAAAAACAGTTTGCAAGTTTTCATTTCTAAAGAAAAACAGTTTTTTAGGTTATTGATAACAGAATCTAAGATGAATGTGTTCAAGCTGTTAGTCACATCATGAACAACAGATTTTTCTGATAACATTTTTCATCATCTGCCATCTTTTTCCTTCCCTTGCACTCTCTGACCAGTTTAATAGACTTAATTAAAGACACATGCTTTATAATATTTTAAGTAAATATCATAGGAAAATTATATTTGTTTCAGGTATAAGGCAGATATATGTTTGTAGGCATATGTGTAAACATTTGAATATTACTACATAAACACAAGATTCAATTAATTACTATTTAGGTTAGTCCAATAAGATGTTGGCATGTAAAATTAAAAGTTATTGATCTGGAACTGGGGTTACAGCTCAGTAGGGGGAGCAATTGCCCAACATGTGAGTAGTTTAATACAGCCCCCTGAAAAATGATAAGGACTTGAACATTTTAAGAGCTGTTGACATTCCAGAGAGTTCTCTCAGCTAAACTACTATGTTTCATCTTAGTTATGATTCAAATCTATCTCTTTCTAAGACATAAACATCTTGAGACAGAAAGATTTCAGACTACAATATTCTCATACTTTCCCATAATGTATGTATTTATTACTACACCCATACACTATCATTTTCAAATTTGGGGACAATTTCAGGAGTTAAGCAGGAGGGACTTCATCAAGTGACATATAGTACTTGAGTAGCTGTTGTGCCTCTAGCACTGAGTTGACTGCTCTCACAGGGGTTGAAACCTAATTTCATCTGAAACTGCAATGTAGAGTATTTCACATGAGCCAAACAGTGCTTTACATACATTGCTATTCCTTTACAATAATTTTATTAAATAGATAAAATAAGTTTCATTTTACAGAACAGGAAACAGATTTAGAATGTCAGGCATCTGGCCTGATAGAGCACTGCTAAGCAAGTATAATTAAGATCTGATATCATGGCTACCTTGTAACATCTATGTTATGCCTTGTAACAGTTCAAGATTCTTGTCTAAATACTTAACACACAGAGCGTCTACAAACTTGGATCAAAATAAATGTAACTGGAAGAATATTCAGAAAGTTACAATACCTTTGGAGGAATGTTGTAAAATGACAAAAGATGCTGTACTGCTGCTGGTAAGCTTTCTGGGGCACTTGAGAACCTGCATCATCCAAGGTTCTAATGCTATGGATGATTGGTACCATCAGGATGGATGGGCTGTACAATCAACCCATGCTAGTGATTGTTAACTTCAGAACTTCAAAGTGCAGAAAGAAATCCTGTTTTAAATACATGAACTGTATAGTATATGGTAGCAATCATTTTGCCAGGGCGAGTTGTAAGAGCATGTGTATGAGTATGTGAAATGGAATGGAAATCTGGGAGAGGAGAGAATCAGGGTTTTAGGGAAAACTTTTCTGGAACCTACACATTACACTCTCTCTCTCTCTCTCTCTCTCTCTCTCTCACACACACACACACACACACACACACACACACACACACACAATACCATATTGGAGAAACTATAATTCTAAAAATAACCCACTAATACATTTATAAGCAGAGTATTTTTATTCATATATTTTAATTAGGTCAAATATTATTTGTATATGTTAACTAGGTTAAAATATTCATTAGAAACTTTTAATGGTCAGGTAGTGTTTGTGTAACCAAACAACAGTGAACCAGTAGAAGCAGTCTCTACTTCCATGGAAGTTAGACTCCAGTGGGCAGAGACAAATAGAAAACCATACACAATTGCTTTTCAAGAGGGCTCAGTGAGCAGAGGAATGAAGCAAGGGAGGGAGCCAAGCAAGAATGTGGAGCAAGCACCTTTAAGATACAGAAACAGTAGTGCAAATGCCCAAAGACTGACATGGACTTATTTGTCTTATGAGGGACTAGAAAGTTAGAAACTAGGAGTGGCAGCAATAAGAAAAAAAAAATAGTTGCGATGAGTCACAGATCTGAGAAAGGAACATTTTATAAGGGCATAGGTGGCCAAGGTATAAAGTTTAGAATTCATTCCAAGCTTAGAAATCATCAGCTTTCCACCAATGCTTGTTAGGGTGTTATGCCAAAATTGAAAAGAGCAGCAAAGTCAGGAAAAGGACAAGGTGGTTATCTGGGTCATACCAGGGAGTTCTACACTTGTTTTATTCCTTTGCTCTCTGAGTCAGAACCCTTCTGTCCAGCCTCCACTGTGAAAACAAACTCCAAGAAGACCTTTGCAGTATTGAAGAAGGCTATTGTTTGCCAGTTATCTACCTTTCTGTATTTCTAGAAACCACAGAAAAAGACATAAACAAACTAAACAAATAGGTTTTTAGAAGAGCCTTATTAAATGACTCATTTGGCATTGCCTCCTCTCCTGGGTAAGATGTGCACTCCAAGCCTTTGATCCACCCTATTCCATAATAACCTATTTGCATAACAATTGCTGATCAGTGGTAACCAAGTATTAAGAAAAGCTAAGTATATTTGGAAGCCTTCCATAATCAGAACCTTGAAAGAATCAGGAATGTATGCTCTGGACTCCAGAAAAGGAAACAGATCAACAATCAGGAAGACTCTAGAAACATCATGGGGTACTTATATTAACCAAATGTAGTTAGGGATTTTTCTTCTTTGCACTTATGATGTGATCTCTACATGGCAAATGGATTTTTTAAATGATATGAGGAACATCAAAAGAAGTTCATTCATTTCAGGAGCTGGAAAGGTTTAACTGGCATAATCCTAGAGTACCTCTACTCAGATGTTCCTATATTTTTCTTAGGAATTACCTATTAAGCCTGATGTGAAAGAGCTGTCTTGCTGATGCAATGTTAATTACAGTTTGACTGTGAAGCAACAAAAATACTTCTTTTCAGAGTGGTTTCACATTTTTTATTTTTATTAATATGATTTTGAAATATTTCCTGATAGAAATAATAACCTACTATACATGGCATCTGTAAGTAGCACTGTATTTTCATGGGAATGCAAATGAAGAAGCAAAGGATGGACTTAGGAATGACCAACAGTTGGTTTTCAAATTCTATCACTGAAAATTTTTAGTTATATATTTTGAAAAAAAATGTTAAACATAATAAATTGAAGCTTTAACTATTGTTAAATTATTTGCTACTTATTTGTAGGATATGTGGTTTCTGATGTTGGCTATGCATCAAAATCACCCTCATTACCTTAAATCAATGATTCTCTAATGCTCTTTTAGAGGCTGATCAGATCAGAATTATCAGAAATAATTTTTAAATGTTTTGTTTCAAATACAGTTTTTCCACAAGGGAAATTTGGAATGGGACTCAGGCATTTCATTTGTTTAAAAGTGTTCAAGATAATTTGATGTATAACAAGAATGGGAAACACTTTTAAAATTACCTTCACAATCTATACAATGGATTTATAATCAAATTTTGATTATATTGTATATATCATTAACCTCAGTTGAATACTTATTTAGGGGTGCCATGATTGACCTATTTTGAAATATTTAAGAATGTATAATCTTTGGTTATTAGCTTGAATTAAAATAAGTGCAACAAGCTTGAAAGATACTAAAAATACAGTTATTAAAAAATAATTTGAGCACACGTAATATGCAGCATACTAAGACATTTGGAGAATAAAATATTTCAATTCATTCAAAGAGGATATTCTAAATGCCTTTAGGTATTAATGAACAAAGACCTGGGGACACAAAAATGAGCAAGTGACAGCCCCTCTTCATATGAGCTGAACACTTTGATAATGGGAGAAAGGAGACAAGATATGCCCTGCAACAAGGGGATGCTCACAAAGGGATTGCTTAATTCTACTAGCAGAATCTGATGGGTGGGAGAATTGGCAAGTCCAAGAACTATGTGAGGAGAATAAAAACAAAGATGAGATTATTCAATTCTATCTGTGAGACTGAAATAAAATTATAGAAGAAGTGATTCTTAGTCAGATGAAAAGACAAGTCTCCAGACAAAAGAAATATGCACATTTGAGACAGAAGATTCAAGAGACATGGTGTGAAGTACCAAAGTGCTACAGGAAAGGCAAAAGTGATTCTGTAGGCTGGAGTGCAGGGTACAAAAGAGAGGAAAGGAGAGAAATTCAGAGAAGAGAGGAAAACTGGCTTGAAATAATGGAGGGAAAGGGGAAATTAATTTATATTTACATCAGAGGAATTGGGAAACTTAAAACAGTCTAAGGAAAGAACAAAATAAAATGATCAAAATTGCAATTTAGATAGTTCCATCGTGGTGCACCAGAGAGATAGGAAGAATTTAGAATAGAGACAGGAAAACTAACTAATTAGAAGACTGCTGTGACTGTCCAAGCAAAACATGACAAGTAACTGAACTAAGGAAGTGGGAATAAGAATGATCAGCAGGTAACTGCAATGTTTCCCCAGCAGAATTCACAACAGTCAGTCACTAATCTGATGAAAGAGTTAAAAGAAATGCACAAAATAAAGAGTAAGGTTTCTGGCTACAGGTATTATACCTTAAGAGTACCTAGTTTAAAGAAAAAAAATTGACTGATATGAATTATTGGCCATACTTAGAATTTCATAACTTAAATCATATGGATACTAGTTGAAAAGCACATTGGAGTAATAGAATATATTGACTAAGGCCAAATTCTTCAACTGGGGAAATAATAAAACAGGACTCCTGAATTCAAGTTATTAAGAAACTAAGAGCATATTTTTAAGTAGCCATATATTGAGTTTGGCCTGAAAATAAGATAAAGAGAAGTAGCATCTGATTTTCTGGATGAACATGTTAGTGGTATCATATTTGGCATTTTAATCTATCCTTATTTAACTAAGTTCTTAAGTAATCCTCTGTATTCAGGTGAAACAGAAGGGCTATTTAATAATTTGTGAAGTTCACTAACATCCTGAGGAGAAAGAAAATGTGTAAATTCAAAGAGCATTATTATTTGATGCTGATTAAATCTCAAGAAATAACTTTTTTTTTTCACATTGGTTAAGTTGGCTGCACATTCATTGCTTTTATACTAAATCCATTTTAAAATCTCTTCCTTAGTTAGTTGCAAGGGCAAATGAGAAACATTTATAATCTGTCCCATTTCTATCAATCCCTGGATAATTATTCCTAAAGGGCCAATAAGCAGAAATAAACATTTAGAAAAACAAAGTTCTTACTTCTCCAGGAACCCTGCATGCTTGTTTTCTAGCATTAAGAAGGTATATGGGCTGTGTTGTTTACATGGAGCTTGTGGGATTTTGAGAATCTCAAAAAAAAAAATAATAATAATGTTTTTTTTGTGACTCAAATGACAACACCCTCACCTGCCTTCAGAGGTCTTATTTGTACAAATAGAAGTTCAATCTACTGAGTCCAATCTCTGTTTTCTATAAAATGCTAAGAGCTTTGGAAGGAAAAAAAAATACCAGAAGCCTCATCAAACATATAAACTTAGAACACATTGAATCTGAACCTTATGAGAGAGAGAAAACCATATGTCAGACAGAAAATACTGGTTCTAGTTAGGGGATGTTAGCTATGATAGGGACAGGGGATAGAACAGTCAGACTTTAAGAAACTGGTGATTAAAAAGCAACTAGAAAAATATAAAACTAGATTCTGGTACACGAGTGGAAACTTTCGCCACATTTTAATTTTTATACTATCAGTGATAAGAGAAAGAACTTTTGTGAAAAAAAATATTTGAGGGTCAAGCTTTCATCTCATTCAAAGACAGACTCTGATCATAGTTCTTCAGCTCAACTGAGATGATGGTGATTTCACTAGGTGGGAACAAAGGATTGAACAAAGACCTGGAGTGTCCGTTCCAGAGATGACATGCTTAACTTACCAAGAAAAAAAAATGAACACATTTGGCCTCTTCGTTTTCCTTTTCAATGACATACTTCTCATTGTCAGTTCATTAATTTACTCAAAATGTTTTTGAAGATCAGTAGGTCTTTGGAACAAATTACCAAAAAACAAAGGAACATAGGGTACTATTTCTAAAGCTATAATAATTGATGGGAGGTGAAGTGGGGGAATAAAGAGACATAAAACCATTAATACCGATTACCTGCAATGGGTAAAATTATTTTATGGTAATAATGTTGGTGGGGAGCATGATAGATTGAGGAAGGTGACTTCCACTTAATATTTTAAATGTTTATACTTTAATACTCTTTTACAATAGCAAGGTATTGATTTTAGAATTCAGAGAACGGATAAAGATAATAGATTTTAAAGAGGATATAACAAAACTATTACAACTGAAAATTGTTAGATTTTTTTTTTGGTATGACTTCTGCATGAATTAACTTTTTTTCTTATGTTGTCAGACACATTTGGCAAAGACACAATAGAGCACAGTATATATTCTCTTTCTCTCCAAAGACACCTTTGAGTACTTAAATATTTATGAAGGGGTAATAGATTAAAGAAAAAGGAACAAAAAATAAATATCAATGAATGCAGATGTAGGCTGGAGATTTAGAAAGACTAAAGAAAAAAAAGATCATCATCATTACCACATTTGGAACTAACAGGAAATCAATATTCAAATTCTGTGTATTATATAAAGATGAGAAAAAATGGGAAAACAAATAAAATGCTTGTATTGTGTAATAAAGGAACAGGAATAAAAATAATTATTAAAGAAAATAAAATCTAAAATACTAACAAGAAACAAACATAGAGAAAGAAATTTATTTCTTAGCTTCTTCTGTCCACTAGAAGAGGACACATTTAATCTTTCAACATCCTTATGTGTTAGTTTTTATCTCCTTTGTTTGAAAGATCAAGAAATTAAAGCTTATAGATGTTGCATGGGACACCCTGGTTCACCTGGGTCAGGCAGCTTCATTTGCATACAAAGTCCACTGCTTTTCATCAGGAAACCAGGCTGAGGAGCCACTGTCCTGACTGATGAAAGTCTGGACAGGCTTGAGAGAGACAGGGAGAGGGGAGCACAAATGAGGAGCAGAGGATCTGAGAGTGTGGGCGGGGAGGTTGCTCAGCCACCATAAATGTTTAAGTGGCGAAAGTGATCCAGTCTATGTGGCTGTGGTTTTAGGAGTGATTCACATATAAAGTACAAAAAAAAGGAGCACATTTAATTTATGATAGAATGTTTTGAAAGCCAAATTGACACCTGTTTGTAAATCAGTAACTCCATAGAGAGAGAAATATGTGCATGTTGTTCAAAAAGAGATATATTAAATCAAAAGCATGTGTTACATATTATCCATTACTGAGAGATAATACCGTAAACTTTTGATTATCATTCTTTTCAGTTTCAAAATCCAAGTATGTGTGTGTGTGTGTGTGGGTGTGTATTCTAAAAAATTAGAATTATGTAAAACTCTGTCTCCTTCTTGTGGAACTTTATTTCATGTACTTAAATAATATTAAGATAGAATCTGAATAGGTTATATATTATATGGATCTGAATTACCATTATCTTACCCTTGACCAGCTACTAAGTCTCTTTCCCTTTTCTTTTTTCTTTTTTTGCTATTTTAAATAATAATATGACATTAGTACCCTCTACATGAGCTTTAGATTATATGGTTAAGGGTCTCTTTAAAAGAGACTAACAGAAGTTATTATCAAAGATTTGTGTTTTATTAGTTTTAAAAAGAATATATTGATTTTAGAAAACCAAGAAAAGTCAAAATATATGGTAAATATAATATACTACAGTAAAAAAATCATATAAAATCTTATATTTCAGAGAAAAAGCCTACTAGTATTTTGATTTATAATTGAAAATATTATCTATTTGGCTATAAGTGCTCTTTAGTTTAATCTTTGATACCAACTTTGTCAGATATATTTTTAAAATTCAAGTTATTATAATGTTGTTCAAGAAATATAATATTTTTGCCTAAATTCTAGATTAATTTGGGCAACTATAAACTATCTGGTGTTATACTTTTTCAATATTTCCTGTACCCTTCAATCTATGACACAAAGTCATAAATTATTTTGTGTCTTGTTTGGAGATATTATAAATTAGATTCTTCTTCTACAAATTAAATCAAAACTGAAGAAAGCTGATTAAGTGAAAGATGTTAAGTATTTTCATGGCATTAAAATTTATACTTTTATCACAATGAGTATTCATTTTCCCTAAGGCCTTTTATTAACTTTCTAAAATTTAAACAGCAAATCCTCCTCCTGGTAAAATATATAACATAAGCATTATCACATCTGGAAATAATACATATTACCTGTAAATAGTATCATTATTTATGCTACCTTTATAAATTATCTCATGATGTACATATTCTAGCATCAACACTTACTATATACGATTTGCAACAAGTTTTTTCAAGTTCTCTAAATCACAGTTTCTTCATCTACATAATGGAGAGAATACCAACCTTGTGGAATTTATGGAAGAGCTAAAATAAAGACATTATTATAGATGTGCCAGTTAGTGCCACCTGTTTTCAAAGACAATTGGCTTTTATTCACAGACTTTGTTGAACAGGTAGGCACAGGCATAATATCACTTCTTAGTCATAGACATTTGGTTTATGAGTCAAGAAATGCATGTGGTGTTGAACCAAAAAGATGCTCTCCTTGAGAAATCAGCACCTAACCTGACAAAATGTTCACATATTTAGAGCCAAAGAAAACCAAGGCATAACAATGTCACAGCACAACAGAATGACAGAAAGAGAGGTCACAGATAGGTAGAGAGCTTTATCCTCCTGACAAAAGAGGGAAAATGTTCATCAAATGTTCATAAAGCAGTATTGTGAAGTGGGGATGGGGAAAAGAGAGAGGATCAGGGAGACAAGAGGAAGAGAGAGAGAGGAAGATTGCTTTTGATCCAGAGAAAGAAAAATGGAATAGCTGTCTGATTATTTTCCATTTCACCTGGGGCCTTGGAAACAAGACTGCACTTTCAAACAGATTTTCCTATGTCTTTCCAACAAATTCTATGAGATTGAGCTTATTTGAGTGTTTTTCTAATTCATACAATCCCTTATTTGTTGAAAATCACATAGCACTATTTCTAGCACTTATATACTTAATGAATAGAAGTTATTATAAATCTAGATTATGAACTCAAAAGGCAGGGAAGGCAATACAACTAGCATCAATTTTCTTTTTTTAAAAAAATCTATTCTTTAAAACATATGGATGAAATGTACATATATCCCTAGTACAAAGGTAAGAGTCCTTTTCCCTGCTCATCCCCTATTCACCCATGGAAAAATATGACTGTATGACTGTAAACACTCACAAGATTCAGCAACATGATGATTATGAAATTGATACAGACAGCAGCAGCAGATGTCGCAAACTGCCAGTGTTGTTTGATGAAATTCCACTTGAATGATGCGAACCGTTCCATGACCACCAGGCGGTACACCACAACAGCAAACACAGCAGTGATCACCAGAGAAATCTGCAATGTGGGAAATGAGAGAAGACACCAATGTTTCACATTATTAACAAATCAGAAGCAAACATTGTCTCTAAGAGTTGAAGGTGTTAGACTTTCTAAGAAAGAATACAAGGATTAAATTTTCTCTCTTAACCAAGTGAACTACATTAGAGTCAGAACAGTATAAGATTTAAACTTAAACATGATAAATCTGAGAGGTAATGCTTATTTTAATTAGATAATGCAACCATTTCACAATGCATACATACTTCAGGACATCAAGCTGTTCACAACAAATACATACAATTTTATTTGCCATTTAAAATACACAAATAGGAAATGGGAGTGTAGGTCAGTGGTAGAGTGCATGCTTATCATGTGTACAGTCTTGGGTTCAGATAACATAAAATAGAATAAGGTAAAACAAATAAAAACATCAAAAACAAAAAGACACAAGAAATGTTTAAGCTGTTCTAAGTATAAATTTATCATACTAATGGGCAGATTCTGTCCAACTTTTCTTTCAAATGGAATGCTCAGTTTTAATACAGGATATGCGATTAATTGCAACTTGGATATTTTTATTTTATTTTAACTTATGTATGCTTCTTTCAATGAGAGTTTTATTTAAAGAAGTGCAAAATTTTCCCTTATAAAATGCTATTACCAGCTGTGATTTCTATTTTAATTGAAAGAATTACCTAATATTGAAAAGGACAAGGTTTTTTTTTTGTACTCTCAGGGTCATAAAATGAGTTGGGGTTACATTGTGTATTTTAAAACCTGGAATCCCACAACATTCTAATAGCAATGGTTGTACTCTACCATGAAGAATATCCCCGAGACAGACACGAGAAGACGGCTAATTTTGTCTGATGAAGGCTGATGTGGCTCAGGTTTTCCTGTGATGGGATTTATTACTTCCATCTTGTAATACTTGGCTTCAAACTGGGGGCGAAGTGTTTCCTACAAGAGAAACTAAAGTTATTTCAGCATCAAAACCATAAATTAAAATTTTTCCTCTAAGAATCAATAGAAAACTTCTAGATTTGACCTATTTTTACAATGTCTTCACAACTATGCAACTTACTAAAAATAGGATGCCAATTACTTTCCAAATAAACTCTAAGCTATATTTTAATTAGTATAATTCTCCACTAATGCAATTTAAGGAAACATCATAGCAGTAGTTTAAAAAACACATACTTCATTATTGACCTCTGTTATCTTCATGAAGTTAGAGATCTTGTTAGTAAAAAACATTGAGGGAAGATCTAATGGTGTGCAGCTGCTCCTAGCCTGGAGGTCTGGGCTTTGGGTAGTTCTCAGCAGCCTGTGATACACCAGTTTCCTTATCTCCTGGTTTCCTAACATCTCACCTCTTCTTCTTCCCATTCAATAAGGTCCCAAGCATAGGTCAATACACTTCTTCTCCTTTTCCAAAATTCCAGGAAGACTGTGGCTATAAAATAAAAAAATGATGACAATAGTAATAATAATCCTGTACCCAAACCATGAGACATTCTTTTGTTCTTCAGATGAAGCATTTTCAAATTGTTAAATTAATAAAATTAACTATTATGAAAGCAATATTGAAATTTCTGTTTTCTTCACCCTCTTTTCTCTCTCTCTCTCTCTCTCTCTTTCCATATATATATATATCACTCCATGCCTTCCTATGGGGGTAGTAGGGTAGGGGGATGGTGATTTCTATCACTGAAATTGAGCAGAAGTCTTAACACAATTCATCAAAATGCTATGAAAGAAGGTCAATATTTAAAAAGATAACTATTATTGTTCTTTTTGACCTGCACATGCTCATTCAAAATTATTCAGAAGACTCAAAGCCTTCTCCAGGTATGAAAACAAAGACCAGATGCTATTTGTTCAGGATCCCAGAAAAGAAGGGTGTGGGAGAAAGACAGGAAAGGAGCAAAGTCATGTTGGTGTTAGGAGAAGAAGCAAAAGAGCAAAAGAAAACCATCTTTGTTGAATATTCTTGGTGAACTATGCATGGACTGAAAGGGCTTTAATGAAAATAGTATGCTTGAACTATCATCTAAATATTCTGCACAAACAGCTAAGAGAAAGATTGTTTTCTTTCTGGTAAACAGAACTAAGAACTCACATACATGTTCTTAAACATCTATGGTATTGTTCATTCATGCGTCTACCGATTTGCTGTTTTCTTATTTTGGTAAAGGGACTCTAATATCAGAGGTCTTAGTATTTAATGTGGGGAGGGATGTTATCTTCATGAAGTTAATTTGAATCATAATAAAAGTTAAATGAAGGAAGAATTACAGTGCAAAGAGAAACAAATGTGTTTGGGGGAAAAGATTTCAGGAAGTTAATAGAGCAAAGCAAGGTCTTCCTCTCTGTTTACTTTCATTCTCCTCTTGAATTCAACAGAAAGGAAGGCCATGGAGAGATGATTGTGAGGTTCTCTTTCTTTTTTTCTTTATAATTGAAAATCAATACCAATATTGATTAGAAAAAATACAATGTTCATAGTTGCCTTACCTTACATTTTATCTCACTTTAAGATTTACAAAACCCTTTCTCACAATTTTAATTGTCACTCTCAAAACAGTTCCAAGGAAATATGTCACATAGTGTTATTACTTGGATTTTGGAAACAAAGGTGCTTAATCATTTGTGCCCAAGATAATATGATCAATAAATGGCAGACCTAGGGGTGAAACTTGCTAGTTATTCTGCACACACAATGCCTGGTTGATACAGTCTTTAATCTCAGTCTTTCTCTCCCTCCTCCCTTCCCTCCCTCTGTTTCATACCTACCATAAAGATCTTTGTCAACCTCTTGAGGTTATGTTCCTGTTTGCACTGTGGTCCTTCCTTCATTATAATTCTTACAATGTAAGCTAACTTTACAAAGATTACTCTTATACTCTGCCATCTACTAATTTTCTGTAAAGTTGTAGAAGAGTACATATGGAAAAAAAACAAAAACAAAAAACAAAACAACAACAACAATAACAACAAAAACCCGGTAAATTCCATTGACAGCAAGACCATTTTAAAATGGTAGTCTGCAGTCACTGTTACCAATGAAAGGATCTAGGAATCAAGAGGGAAGTGGGATATAGAGGAAGTAAGCAGAGGAAAAGCCATAGAGGATAATCAAAGGGAGAAAAACTCCACAGTTTTAAATAAATAAGAAAATACAATGATTATAAACACAGGACATATAAATTTTAATATAGGGAGAACATGGATCACTAATACAAGTCAAGTCTTAAGGTTTCAGTGTGTTGCCTATTGTCTTCTTAATGTATCTTTCCAGCATATACTTGAACTAGAGGCATCTGACACAAAAACTAGGGAAGACAAATGTTATCTTGTGTTTGGCATGATTATAAATGAAGGTAATAACATTTTGAAAGATACATGGAATCTTTCTCAGACTGAAGGGCGTTGTCTTTGAACATTATATTGAACTAGTTTATGTCAGTTTGAGATATATTCATTTCATTCATGGCTTACTTAGTTAAAATCTGAAGTGAATGAATATTCTCACTCTTAGAAATTAATTAGAGGGCTGGGGATGTGGCTAAAGTGGTAGCGCGCTCCCCTGGCATGCGTGCTGCCTGGGTTCGATCCTCAGCACCACATACAAACTAAGATGTTGTGTCTGCTGAAAACTAAAAAATAAATATTAAAATTCTCTCTCTCTCTCTCTCTCAAAAAATAATTAATTAGAAAGAGGGCATACAGAATAATTTACCAGCATGCCAAGCACAGAGGAAGGAAGCAAATTATCCTTTAATGATCCCTACACTAAGCATATCAATAAAAATATAATTATAATAAAATAGTCAATGTTGAAATTTAAGACAGAAGTAGCTGCTAAGGCTATAGCATGATTGATGAGTTACACAGAAACCATCTGAGGTGATTAAAATATGTTTTAATTGAAGTGGTGATTATACAAGTTCATGTATTTTTCAAAAGTGATCAAACTGTACTTAAGATCTATGGATTTCATTGAATATAAAGAATACCTCAATATTTAGTTTTTAGAAAGTAACACTCTCTCTCTCTCTCTCTCTCTCTCTCTCTCTCTCTGTGTGTGTGTGTGTGTGTGTGTGTGTGTGTGGTGCTGGGGATTGAACCCAGGGCCTCATGCATGCTAGGCAAGTGCTCTACCACTGAGTTACTGCCCCAACCTGAAAGTAATTTTTTAAATACCAAGTGGTTAATTGTATTATTTTACTTGATCCTTAGCAATACAGTGGTTTCCCCCAGTTTTTAGCAGTGAGGAGTTCTAATCCTTCTGTGAATAGCTGGAAGCAGGAACTGCAAACCCAAATTATAAGCAAGGCAACTAGATTGCAGTGGAAGGGTAGGCTGAACAATTAAAGGTCTGCATGGTTCTCTGACACTGCTGTTTTAAGGAGCCTTGAATTAGAGAAGAGGCATTTACTTATGCCAAGACCTCAGCAAAAGGATGAGGCAGCACCCAATTTCAATGACATCAAGGTCCTCTCAGAGAGGTAAATGTGGAGGCCAGGTTTAAACATAGAAGGAAAGGCTGAAGCTCACCCTGAAGTAGAATATGACCAAGTCCATCTAAACACATTCTAATTCCAAAAATACATAATGAAATACAGTCCTATGTTACCTGAGGTCCTCATCAAGATGTGACCCACTGGTGAACATATTATTGCTTGTCCACTAGAGTAAAAAGTCTTATTCAAATGATAGAAATGGGGGATGGATGGCTGAGAATACTGAGATCTTAATTACCATGATTGTTTTGTCTCAGAGAAGCTATATGAAATTAATATCATCCTTGATATTAGAAAGATAGAGAATTTAAACAAAGGAGGTTGAACTATCATGTAGTTCAGAATTGAGAGATGTGCAAGGAACTTTCAAGAGGAAACAGAAATCCTGTGAAGGAGTCCATGAATCAAGGACTTCCAATAATGCACCTGATAAATCTTCAAAATGGCAAGCAAACAACAGTCATTTTTATTATAATGGGTGATAAAATATTTTGCATGTATACTTAATTTTGGGATCCTAGCTGGATCAGTTAGTTTCTGAAGCAAACACAATGAGAGAATTAATGAGAAGCATTAATGATAGCAGCCCTGCCAGGTTTTAGAAGGGGCAAATATAGGAAGGGTTCAAGAACTAGAGATTTGAATCAGGGAGATTTATAGTTAAATCTTAGATTTATGTTAAATATTAGAGTTTTAAAATATCCCCGTGCCCAGGTTCTACCTTAGATCAATTAAATCACTATCTCTGGAGATGATCCCCTAGCAACAGAATTTTTTGAAGCTTCCAAGGACTTCCAATGTTGCAGCCAACATTAAGCACTGTCCCCTTGAGAAGAAGCGGCTGTGCTGATAAAAGGCAGAATGGAAATCAAAGTCATGGTAATTAACTGTGTAGAACCTCAGTGCCAGAAGCGTAGTCAAGCTCTAGTCAGAAATGAAGACTAGGATTTAATTGTTTACTTCCAATTATTTATAAAGTATTTTAATAATCCCTTTAGATACATTGCTTATAATGTCTTTATCATTTGTTCTCTCAATAGTTCACAAAAATCTGAGTGCCAGCTACTTTATTGAGTATATATACAAAATGTACCTCAAAATTTTTATTGTCCACAGTTTCATAGATTACAAATTCGGAATTCTGAAAGGTGAGGTGACTTTCCAAAATCAAACAGATGGTCTGAATTTAAGTCATCCGAATTCCAAAATTCACAATCTTTCTACCATCCAATGTTTCCCCAGATGTTAATGGGTAGACTTGAAAATAAAGATAGTGTAAGGTGAGAGTGGAAATTTGAGAGCAAGTTGTCAAAGCCATGAATAAAGAAGTATCCTGGAAGTATGTAGATATAGAAGTAGAAAGAAGAGTAGAAGTCAAACAGCATGGAATTCACAGGAGGGAACCCTGGTGTACAAGGTCACAGAAAGGATTTTCTGGGAGGAGCACACAAGACAGGTGGTGCATGGTGAAGAGGGGAAGGAGGTGTATTAAAACTTACTCAATATTAAAATATAAATACTTTAAAATTGAAAGGAAATAAAGCAAAAGTCATTGCTTTCTTAAAGAATAAATTGTCACTACTGATACAGAAATAGGTATAGAAAAATTAGATATATTATAGATATATCATGCTCCAAAGAATATATACCAAATGTGAGTGGATTATGGAGAACTTTCACTTTCTATATCATACCCAGTACACAAGACAGCATGGGCAATTATGTGTTTTTTACCACTCCGTGTGGAATGTTTTTCAACCATTTCCCTTGTTCCTGTAAAACTGGGTTGACTATGGAGTTGAGGAGGACAAGAAGCCTCCACCAGAGATGGGAATTTTCCTCCCCTCCCTCTCCTTCACTAAGAGTAAATAAGAAAGAACATGGTTAATTGACATATGAATCCTCAGTGCTAGTAATCTTCACCCATTTC